CAGAGCCATACCGAATGTTTGTGGGATGCCTGCGGAGAGGAACGGGGCCCCACATCCTTCCTCCTGGGAAACCTTGTACAGGGCCTCAGTGGCTCGACCCTCAGCCTGGGCACCAATGAGCCCAGCCTTCTACAAGAAGGGGAGCTCCAGCAGCATGATGCAGAGGAGAAGTTCCAACTAGAAAGGCATCAGGAAAGCGAAAGAATGTTTCAGAGGCTCTTCAAACAATGGTTAAAAGAAAACTGACACTCTCACCCCACCTGACGGAGATCCGAACGGCTTCAACGTGGACGCTGGTCTTGCCAGATCCTGGGTGTGGATTCCTTTTGGGGACCAAACAGTAAGCAGTAGTTGGAGGAGTAACTCGAAGAGTTTATGACCAAAGGTCCTATCAGCATGAGCATAGATCTGATCCCAGGGAGGTCTTAATCTTTCCTGCCTGGATTTGGATCACTCTGGGGCATACTAAGGCCAAGGAAACTGCTCTCCAGGGGTCCTTAGCTCCTATATTACGTCTCCTGTGATGCATTTTGTCACTTTCACGCCCTGGATCTCTGTCTTTCCTCTCAACACTGTGGTCAGTAAGATATAAAGTGTCTGCAGCGTGAATGCCTTGGTGAGGTCCACGGGCTTTTGTGCCATTTTACCGACTGCCTCTAAGAAGCAGCGCTAGGTCTGCTGTTATGCACGGCTGCTAATCTGAGATCCCGTTTCAAGAATCTGAGGCTAAAGAAAGTGCAAAGGGCATGTGAAATTGAAACATGATGGTTCACCGTTGTGTTCTTTGTGTAAGCTGTTATGAATTTGAGCTAAATGCCGATAAATGTTTCCCTGCTCCATAACATTGAGTACTAGTTTCCCTTGAAGGAGTTTCTGATGGGTTACCTCGTCGTGGATACCAAATAAATATCCGTGTTAGAGGCAACTAACTTAGAATTCAGTTTTGTTCCACCATTTTGGTTTGTTCTTTGTCAGATCTGAGCAGCAGATCTGAGTTTATCAAGAGGAGCATATTTGGAACAGGGCGTGGGGGAGGGCTCCAGAGAACATGGGCAAGTCACTTTGGGTGGCCTCGCCATAGGACCGGCATGCAGATGATCCAGGTGGGGGAAATGGAAGCGAGTCCTGCTATCCAGGGAGAGTTGGGGGCAGAGTCCTTGTCCACCATAGGAGGTTCTGAAGGATGGGATGGTGCTGGCTCCCCTGGCATAGGGCTTCAGGGGCCAGTCCTTGTTGTATGGTGTCCCAGGACTGCTGAACGTGCTCAGCGGTTTCGTGCCTCCTGCATGAGAACGAGAACATCATTGAGTTATTAGGAATCGGGATTTGAACATAATGCCGTTTCATTTCAGGAGACAAGAAGGATTAAATCTTCCGCCCCCCATTCGCGCCCGGCCTGCTCCCGGCAGAATCCCATGAAGCGTACAGGAAGTGACCATGCAATTTGTCTGAAGGGAAAATAAATTCTGTGTTCTGCCAGTGCGCCCTCTGGTGGTCCACAGAAGTGAATTGCTGCAAATATCTATGAGTGTCCTGCGGACCGAAGTGGCTTGAGAATGGGTACGTTTATTCGATTCTAAACTCGTGATCCCATCAGAGAGCATGGGAGCTCCACAGCTTTCCAGACTGGTCGCCCAGCCCAGGGAAAAAGGTCAGCAGAGAAGGGCTTCTGCATCTTGAAACACAAAGGTCTTACTTCAGTCCAGTCATTTGGCATGTGTTGAGCAGGACAAACAGGACATTTCACTTACACTAATTGTATACTAGGAGTCAGACAATATTCTATATATTTTTAACCCAAAGAGAATGCTAGGGAAGCCTACGCTTTCCAGAAGCTGAGATTGAAAATAATCAAGAGACAGGGTAGGAGAAGCAGAGGGCTGTGCTCTTCCAGGGCAGGTTACTTAACTGTCCCTCCAACCCATCCCCACCCCCCACCCCCCCCACGAGAGAGAAAACCACAGGAAGCAGGTACCAGAA